CAAAAGAATACCAAAACACTAAGTGTTACGCCATTTTCTTTTTTTTAAGAGGGAGCATGCCAAAAAAGTTTTGACGTTGGCTTCGTCCAAATTTGTGAAACAAATATATGCCTGAAGTTCGCGTGACATGCGACAGGAGACGTTGAATTTTGCACATTAAAAGTACCAAATTCGTTTTAGCGGAATAACTCTAAAACTAAAGGGATTAAAAAAAATCCGTAGTGACAGTTGTCGATCATGCATAAATATAATTAATTACCTATCAAATTTTTGTCCTAATAACCTGTAGCATTTCGAGGATGAATCGAAAAAATTTGAAAATTAGAGGTTATTTCGTGATTTTTATCTATCCAGGAAACTTTATTGTTTTATGTTTTTGATTAATGTCTTTGCTTGAATATATCGTGTAGTTACTCATACAATATTTTATTTTTAACTTTAAAGTGGATATACCCCTCTAAAATCAAATCGAAGATTAGGAATTTTTCCTCTGCTCCCTCTTATGTAAGCGGCGCAGGTGGCTATGTATAATTCTCGCAGTTATGAACAGTGGGCAGTTGCCTGTACGGGTTTTTCTTTTGCCTGTTCACATAGTTTATTATTAGACCTCAAAAGTGTCACTGAATTCAAATAATTAGGGCACATTGTAAACGAGCGTCTTAAAGATGATAGTGACATCGAAAGAGAGCGAAGGGCGCTGGTGGTACGGGGCAATAAGCTGATCCGTAGGTTTGCACGATGTACTAAAGAAGTAAAGATTCTGCTTTTCAAGACATATTGCCGGTCGTTTTACACGAGCAGTCTGTGGATCTCATACAACAGGTGTGCCTTTGTTGGGGTTGCCGCGCTTCTGCAGCGCGTCGGGGATGATGGCCGAAGCCAGCATTGATCATTTCTTCGCGATTATGCGTAAAAAGGCGAACTCCCTGAAATGCAAATTGCGCTGCAGCACTAACAACGTCCTGAAGATGATTGCCGATAGGGGTGGAGGTCCCATCCACAGATATTAGATGGAACTACTCAAAGGGGTTTCGTTTCGAAATGATTATATTGTGCTCTCCTTTTTGATTTTGATACATAAACAATTACTTACTTACTAACTTAATTTGAAAACAAATTGTTATTAATTTACTGCTAATATTGCTATGGATGATTTCTGAAATAAATAAGATTTTATTTTATTTATTTTTATTTTATTACTTGTAGGTAGATTTAAAAGTTTAGAGAAGTGGACAGTATTGGATTTTCATAGGTACTTACTTTGCAGGCGTTGGCTGGGAGAAAGTTACACGGTCCTCAAATGACAAACTTTTCGTGTTCGTTTTTTGAAAGTAATGCAAATATATCCGAGCATATTTGAGATAATCTCAGTACAGAGCACTAAAACCGACCTCAAAAGTACGTGGAATTACGTCTATAAGCCAAGTTTTATTGAAATATAGTTCGCCACTATAGAAGACTTGACACTGGAGATAATACAAATCGGTTCTCACTACTCAAAGTATATTGAGAGAAAAACGCCTTGAATTGGAGAAATAGCAAAATCAACCATTAAAATAATTGCTCCCGCTATTTATAAATATGAATGTTCATGCGTGATCAGCCTCCTTAGAGGTGGATGATTTTCTTCAAAATGAAATGGAACCACTATGGAGGTTCCCTCTTTCCAACAAAAAGGAATCATGAAAATCTGTTCACAGTTATCGCGTAACATACATACAAAAAAATATACAGTCGAATTGTGAACCTCTTCCTTTTTTTGAAGTCGGTTAAAAAAGTTATAATTATGTAGTGCATGATACGTTATTTTAATTGATTCCAATATTTGTTATTTTTATTTTATATGCCTTTTGTTTCGTGTGATTAAGCGATTATTGAAATTATTTTAGGTCTTCGACGAATTCAAATAATTTAATAAACGCAATTAGTTATCATTGTCCATTTAATGTCAACAGTAATAAGAAATAAAATATACCAACGGATTTATATCACATAACTAATGTACGACAAATCGCGTAGTTGAACGTGTCATTATGTTTTTTTTCATCGAAAGAAAAAGTTAGGTGCATCACAGTCCATCGTCAAGTTCGAATTTGAAAAACTTTTTCCATGCTAGGGTGGTAAAAACGCTTTTGCGCGCGTAGTTTCCAAACTAGAATGTTTATTTATTTGATTAATACTTAAGTTTTTATATAATAAACCTTTAGATGTTACATTCCTTTCACGATTATTATTTAAAAGTACAAAAGGCAGCTAATTTACCAGTACTCAGGTACTAACGACTCAGGATTTCTAATGAGAGCCTTTCTCAGCTAGTGAGTTAAAAAAATATTCTACTTCTAAGGTTGGTAATATATGAGTGAATCCGGTGTATTACACCAATGTGCCAAGTTTTATTACCGGATTCATCTTTAGACGTGGAATGTTTTGTTCAAAATTGAATGCGACCACTATTGAGGTACCTCCTTTCCATATAAAAAAAGAATCATCGGAATCGGTTTACAAATTACCCGCCGGATTAATCGCATAACATGCACACAAAATAATACAGTCTAATTAGACAATATGACATACGTACGTCGCTCTGATCCCAAAGTAAATAGCTAAAGCACTTGTGTTATGGAAATCGGAAATAACGACGGTACCACAAACACCCTGACCCGCAAATTAGTTTCTACATTGACAGTGCAAACCACTCGACCACAGAGGTCGTCAAATTGAAAACCTCGTTTTTTGAAGTCGGTTAAAAATTGTTTCTATAAAATCTCTGGGGCCAGTTGGTAGCCCAATGTTTTATAAAAATGGAAGTAAATTAATTTGCCAGTCCGCAAACCCAGTTAAGGCTAAATGCAAAACAGTCGCGCTTGTGTTGAATATTTTTTATGCAGTTAATTATCCCACCCTCCCTCCACATAAAATTAATAAAATAAATAACACAAGCGCAACTACTGTCACAAACACGACCACAAAATATACCCAACACGTGTTTCGCCTCTCCACGAGGCATCCTCAAGGGCTACTGGCTGTTCGAAATAATATTCAACACAAGCGCAGGTATTTTGCACGATTTAACCATCACTGGGTTCGCGGAGTAGCAAATTAATGTACTTCCATTGTTATTAACATTGGCTTCCCCAAAGTAACGGCTGAATCTATTAATTACCCCCCCAACCCGCACTGGAATAGGGTGGTGGATTGTGGCCTTAACCCTCGTCGGAGAGGAGACCCGTGCTCTGTAGTGGGATGTATAAACTGGTTGACGTTGATTCTCTGGGGCCCTGTTTATAAATTCTGCCAGCGTCAGCGGTGTTTCTTCGAAGCAAAGGCCGTCAGTATATCCGTAAATCCTTCGCATCGCTGACATGCCTTTGAAGCAGCATCAGAGAAACCCACCTTTCTGCACAAAATATTTGTGACTTTGCACTATGACGTGCAAGATCACCTCAAAAATACTAGGAAATCGAACCCGGGACCTTTTTTAGGTCGACGGTAACTGAACCGAATCATAGGCGCCCTTACATACTTTCGTTGTGAATAAAACGATAGCGCGTTTCAGGGTACAACTAATGCCATCTAGCGGTGAATCTTGGAACTAAAAATTGTATGGGAAGCAAATTTTTTTCCGCAATGGCTTAGTTGGGTAAACGCTCGTCTCTTGCGATGTTCCGAGTTCGATTCCTACCTGGGGCCTGGGCAACTGTGTCATAAAAGAATATTACTTAATTAAACTTAATAGTAAATAACATTAATTTAAAAAACATTCGATCAAGCAACACCATGCAATCATCACCACGTTTTCTTTAACCTTTGGAATATATAAAAAATAACAATAATAATAACAAATAACATAACGCCTTTTTGAAGTAGGCAGAAATCACGGACTACGGATAAAAAACTACTTTAAGTACAATCAGCGACATTTTAGTTTTGTTTGTTTTAAGTGGAGTTACGTCAAAAACGTTTATTTCTTCATTAGACATAGAAAAATATAACCCACAACCTCTCCAACTATCGTAATTCTAGCGACTACTATTGTAGATAGAGTTACAAGAATTGGAGGAGTTTTTTTTTAATTTGTATCACGTCGTACTTCCTTACATAGGCCAGGTTCAAGGAGAGGTTACATAAGTTCAAAATTAAAACATTCGCTTAAAATGTTATCTAAACAGACATAAATTGCATTTCAGCCACATACTACATAAATTCTTATTATTAAGAATTTCTTATAATTGATTTAAATTATTTTCTTTAAAAAAATTTAGCAAATTTTTTTTGCAATCCATCATGGCTGTATGCGTGTTTGCTTTTTACAACATTTTAGTTCGAGTTGTATTATCTATGGATGATATAAACAAAAAAAAAAACAAAAAACTAGCAAAATGCATAAATTGTTGTGTTGTGAACATTGACTTACAAATAAATGGACGACGAGTCTAATACAAAAACCACGAAAAAAAATGTCCCAAGTCAACATATTTAAACGTAGTGACATGTAAAGGAATATGAAAAAGCTAAAACGTTGAATTTAAATTGTAATGTCATCGCAGTACTGTCTAATTTTGCTTGCTTCGCTGTCAGTCGAACAAACGAAGACTAGAGCGTGAATGACGCTCTGTATACGATTTTAACGCCCTATAAGTTCGGACACTTTTTAGCGCGGACCCGACGTCCATATAATTGTAAGTCAATGGTTGTGAACCATATTTATATTTGTATTTATTTCCTCGCAAACGTGATGAAAAACATTATATGTATCACGGACGGTAAAAAATGTCTCAGCCTTCGGCTTCGGACTTCTAATAGACCCTCGTTAGTCATTTCTTATTTACTATAATTTGTACTATAAAAATAATCCTATATTATAATATTAATAGACTACATCATTGAAGAGTAAAATACCAAATGTAAAAAATCCAGCCATTGCACTCTATTGACTGACAACTGATATGATTGAAAATTACCAGATGTACCCGGTTCAAAGTCAAAAGTATAAGCAGCAATCACCCTGTCAATTATACACCGATTCTGTAACAAATTAAATTTTATTATCAATTAAAACATGATTTTCTTCTTTGTTCAAGTGGCCCAGTAACTCCTCCTCGGTCATGAGCAGCATGGAGACATCTTTGTCGGGGTTGGGATGGTACACCTCGAATCGCGGGGGTGACTCCAGGGTTGACCGCCCGCAGACGATTATGGTGGGATAGCCCAGTCTGTTAACAAATAATTATAAAAAGTTAGACCATCATGATTTAATATAATTTAGGAAATGAAATTATTTTTCCGGATTTAAAACGCGTATATTTGTTTTTTCAAACAATCCAACGTTTCGGGCCCGTTACAGGTCACGGTTGACTACAGCAAACCACCCTATTTTTTCTCTATAGTTACAATAGTTATTAATTAAATACATTATTTTTTATTTTACAAAGAAAACATTCCAATTTACGCTACACTAAATTTACGTGCGTAAATTGGAATTTTTCCTATGTGTAACAATCGCGAAAACCTAAGAACTCGATTAATATAATTTTTTTACGAGATTACTACAATTGTTAGTTACAAAATTAATATTATACCTTTTGTATAAAAAAAAATAAACCAACTTCAAAGCTTTGTGGAATTATATATACATATATGTGCCAAAGTTTATTCAAAACGGTTAACGGAGAGTAGTTGAAATAATTTACCACCCTTAGAGGTGTAATATTCTTCAAATTTAAATGGGACCAATACCATCTTTCGAACAAAAAAATAATCATTTAAATCGGTTCTTAAATGCTGCAATAAACGCGTATGTTACTATGGGTCGTATTCCAGAACTCTACTCAATGTTCAAGTCAAGACTTGAGTATGATTTCTAGGGCTTTGCATCGTACTCAAGTCCGGACTTGAACATTGAGTAGAGTTCTGGAATACGACCCTATAAGTACCAGGTAATGCCTCACAAAATACTTCATTACGGTTTGTCTACATTTAGTTGTTTAATATAATTAATTTATTTAAGTTAACCAACTTAATTATTTAATTTAATATAATGTAATTACCTAAACCTTTAGTAAACTTAATTTAAAAAGGAACACCGTTAAATTTTGCAATTTATCCGAAATACAAACAAACATAAGCTTTAGAACTCTCTCTTCTTCCGTCGGAGGTGTAAAAAGATGGAGATAGGATCTTTGAGCTACGCATTTTACTTCATTTTTAACCGACTCCAAAAAGGAAGACGGTTTTCAATTTGATTGTATTTTTTGTGTATATATGTTACCGATTTTGAGGATTCTTTTTCGTTGGAGAGAGAGTATCCCAGTATACTCCACCTCTAAGGGTGGCAAACCAGGGGATGAATCAAGTTTATTGGATTTCAACGACTGTCTGTTAACCGTTTTCAATAAAACTTGGCAAATAGATGTAATTTTTCAAACTTTTGACGTTGCAATGTAATGATATAATTAATTATTAATAAATAGTATAAATAATTAGTAGATTAATACAAAAATCAATGTACCAACATTCATTCTTTCTACATAACCAAACCAAGCGTCCCCTTGTCTATTCCGGTCACTACATCATCTTTCATACCACAATGCACTTTTACTACTGTTCGATATTCTGTCTTTAAACAAATCAATAAAAACAAATTATTTCAGTCTTTGTCGATATCACGTTAGTTACAGAAAACTTATAAGCCTATGGTAGTAAAATAGGTTGCCGAGAAAAAAAATAAAAATTACATTAGGTTATACATCAAACCTCTGGAATCCATGTGTGTACAGTTCCAGTGCTTAAATGTATCACAGATTTGATACTTCCAGACCAGCCGCATGAGGCTAATACCGGAAAGCTACTCATTTCTACAGCATTTACCCAACTTGCATACTTTATCAGCCACACTCAACACCATAACTATACAATAAGTAGTTAAAGTATACCTGTCGGCCATCATGAGTCGCTTTCCGATGGTGTACGAGTGTCTATCGTCGAGCAGGACGTCGTTAAGTGCATGTGTACTTGATAACAGTGCATGGAGTCGGTTTAGCTTGTCCGAGGAGAATGAAAACCATTCCTTGGAGCCTTCCTGAAAATAAAATGCAGATTTTGGTGTTACAAGATTTTTTTAATCAGTAGAGTTCCTCACGAAAGAGATTGTCCAGGGAAGTACTGTCACCTTACCTATCTCTGCCGCCAACCAGTAATGTCAGCATTACTGTGTTCCGGGTTTGAAGGGTAAATGTGTTGGTGAAATTACAGGCCCATGGGACTTGTCAACTTGTCTCAGGGTGACAGGCGCAGCGGCAGTGCCATTTAAGCGGCACTGCAACTGCTATGGACAGTCGTGTCGCTTACCTTCAGGCGCACGACTTGTTCATCCCATCACTTTGTATTATAACGCGACACGCATGACGGTACATTACTGTTTATTCATGTAAATTGTTTTTGTTTTTTTTATTGTTCCTATGTTTTTTTCTGTTTATATACGTGTCTGTGCTTATGAAATAAATTGTTTTCTTTCTGGTTGTCTATGTATGTGTCGATGGCACCCGCGGAACAGGGTTTCCCTAGTGCGGGGCTATGAATGTGTAATTATTAATAGTTATTATTATTATTATTATGTTATTATAACCAATAATTTGATTGTTTTTTATATTATACAATTCAAATGGAGTAATATAGTGTTGACCCATAGTACCTACTTTCGGTCCGATAATGATAGCGCTATGAGGCGCGATGGCCTTAGGCCACCGCAGGGACTTCTCGCTGGACAACGCTTCCAGACTCGCTGCTAGCAACCTGAAATTGTAACATACAGGCTGTTAAAAAAAGACAATTATTAATTATTTATATATTATTAATAATAAGAATAAATAGTTGCAACGAATCGGCTACTATTCGGTATTTTCTATTCGTTTCAACCCTAACAATAATTTTTAACTGGCTTAAAAAAAGGAGGAGATTATATAGACTTCGTCTGGCAAAAGAGCTACGAACCTTCTACAAGTATTAGCATATAATTTTAAAATAAAATAATAGTCTACATAATTGTTACCGTGTTACGGATGTGAGGCCTGGACAATAAAAGAGCATCTCAGGAAACGTGTTGAAGCATTTGAAATGTGCTACAGAAGAAAATTGCACTTATCAGGGACTCACAAAGTCACCAATGACGAAGTTCTGCGACTAGTTGGACAGAAGCGTAAACTTTTGCAGACCATCAAACAGCGAAAAGTTGTATATCTGGGTCAAAGCAAAGTCGCTAAGAGGAAAACGTCAACGTCCTGCCATGAGAGGGCGACGCGGACGACACGGTGCAGCACACCTTAGGGTGGCCACACACGGCCTGCTTGAGCAGCTAGCCAATGATCAACATACACGGACCGCTCAGCAGTCATAGTCAACAGCTTGAGGCTGCCATTGATAACTGCTGGCTACTCAACACGTTGCAATGTGGAATGAAGAGCGCGGGCGGAGGTAGCTACGCCAGAGCAGTCGACAGCTCGAGCAGTCAAGTGTGTGTGTGTGGCAACTGCTTGACTGCACGATGAAATTTCACCGCGCTGCAAACCGCCCGAAGCAGTCACAACGGCTCGAGCGGGTTTGGTGTATGTGTGAAAAGGTTGTAAACCATGATGAGCCGTGATCCACGGAAATTTAATTTCAAGTCGATGGTAAAGAGAAAAAAAGAGGCTGTAACAAAAAAGGTATAATACTACAAAACACTCCCTAACTTAATTACATACGGATATGCTTATGGATGAATATAAAGTAGACACTTACCCCAAAAGGGCCGAGTTATACTGAATTACAAATAGTTATCAAAATAGGCGCATGATTAGTAGTAATAATAATATATTTATTTGACATCACAAGTACAAAGAGCAATATGACAGGATTTCCAAAAAAAAAATCATAATAATAATATAAGAAATAAGCTTATGTTAAATCGACATTATATTTTAACATATATATGCAAGGCAAACGTGATGTCATGCTTAGGAGCACTATACACGGTTGCTGTTGGTCCTACAATAGGCAGAGCCTGTCCTGTGTGTCAATTTTAACAATGGTACATTACGTTACACGTTGCGTTGTGATTGTTTTAATATTAATAATAATTTAAATATTTCACAATGTATTTTTATATATTGTAATCATTGACTTATCAAATAAATGGACGACGGGTTTAATACAAAAACCACGAAAAAAATGTCCCAAGTCAACCTATTTAAACGTAGTGACATGTAAAGGAATATGAAAAAGCTAAAACGTCGAATTTAAATTGTAATGTCATCGCAGTACTGTCTAATTTTGCTTTCTTCGCTGTCAGTCGAACAAACGAAGACTAAAGCGTTAATGACGCATGTATACGATTTTAACGCCCTATAAGTTCGGACACTTTTTAGCGCGGACCCGACGTCCATATAATTGTAAGTCAATGATTGTAATCTAATATAAACAAGAGGAAAAAGAAATGTTGAGATAAAGTAGGACGAATTAAAATAATTTAGACCAATATTCATTATTAAACAAATTTAAATACTTATATCTAATAATAATAACACTACAAATCTGGTAAAGGAATAAAAATTAGACGCAATTGAAATTGAAACGGCACTGTATGCTGCCACGATCGAGCAGGAAGTCACGATGGAACGAAACAAAGTCAGAATGGCGAGGAAAAGGAAACAAAAAACGATTCAAAATTTAAAAACAAGTGGCCAGGAAGCGGAGATAAAAGATGGGATGACGATGGCAGGAGGTCACATCGTCACATGTGTATTCATGTACATAGTAGACTGTAGTTTGCTATGTGGTCGCAGCTTGAAGCAGTCGATACTAGATGCTTCAAGCTGCCCGTGTATAGAGGCGTGCAATTGCTGGAGTACGCAACGCCGCACTCTGGTAGCAACTATAGGGGGAGATCTCTCGCTGCCAAGCGTGTTATGTGCTATGCTGGGTGGCGTGGTATCGTGGGAGGCTGTGGCCTTCTTTTGGGAAGAGGTCATCTCGAGGCCGATTCCCGGACCGGGAGAAATATTAGTATGGCCTACATTTATTTCTCTCGTGAGTTTGGGTGTAATTTGTGTTTGTCTATGTGTGTGTCCATGGCACCCGCGACACTGGGTTTCCCTGGTGCGGGGCTATGTGTGGTCTATCTTTGTAATAATAATTATAATAAACTAGTGGAGTAAACTAGTTATATAGCTTTTGTTAACATTTCTGGACCAGTCAGAGGATCCAATATGGTTTGGGGTCTATGCAGAACTCTCTTCTTACGGTCACTTTCTATATTTAATCTCAATCCAGAATTTGCTATCTGAGCTTGAATAATCAATTAAAATTCTATTTTTAACCGACTTCAAAAAAAGAAGGAGGTTCTCAATTCGACTGCATGTTTTTTTTGTATGTATGTTACGCGATGACTCCGGTATTTGTGAACCGATTTTCATGATTCTTTTTTTGTTGGAAAGATGGTATCACGATAGTGGTCCCATTTCATTTTGAAGAAAATCATCCGCCTCTAAGAGTGGCTGTTCACGCATGAAGATTCATTTTTATAAATAGCGCCTAAATTTTATTACAAGGAGCAATTATTTTAATGGTTGATTTTGCTATTCTCCAATTCAAGGCGTTTTTCTCTCTCAATATATCTCCAGCGTCAAGTCCTGTATAGTGGCGAACTAGGGGATATTTCAATAAAGCTTAGCAAATAGACGTAATTCCACGTACTTTTGAGGTCGTTTTTTTTTAGTACTCTGTACTGAGATTATTACTATTTCAATAACCGATCGATGGATCGTTATTCCGATTGACGGAATTTTTAGATGGCAGTGACAGTTGTGCGCTTTTATTATCCGATCCATAGGTTTGACAAATCGGATTTTGCACGTGTTCGAACTATAGTAGCGATCCGCCAATTTTGACCGATTGCACTGTGTAATCACGTGAAAATGGAAGTTATTTTCAAGTGACAGCGACTGTGATCTTGAACAATTTGCTCAGTTATCGGACTACAGCGGATAATAGCGAAAGCGGCCAAGAGCAGCTTGTGTCCTCAAGAACGTTTAGGCGTATAAACTTCATGGCAAGTTAGACGCTGAATTTACATTCAAATTTAGGCTAAACAAAATATCAGTTGAATTTGTTCTAAATGAAATAACGCCATTTATCAAAGTCAAATCAAAACGGTATTTTTATAATTTAGATTATTTATTGCGTCACGAATACGAACAAACATCAACAAAACATAAATTGACACTAATATTTCGCCGCCGCCGCCGCGCGCCGTCCCTTTATTTTTTCCATCCTATATAGCCGTCCCGCTCGTTTGACATTAGACGTTCCGTTCCGTTCCTCGAAACACGTCATTCTTGACGTACTTACGGTTGAAATATTTTATACTTGAAAGTTTTCAATTAATTTATATTTTTGCCAAAAGCACATGTAAAATCACGTGTATAAATAAATTAATCTTAGAAACATAACCACCATTTTATTCACTAATTCATGTAATGAAATTTTCCTCCGATTGCGTGGAACTAAACGTCGGAGAGGGGGTACATTTAAGAGCGATCCTTGTTTTTAAGGGCACTAGAGCCGACATAGACGTATTGAAATACAGATCCGGCAGCGATCGAATAAAATCTGGATAGAAAACAATATTAGATTCAAGATCAAATATAGAAAGCGGCCGTGGCCGCGGCGTGTGGCACGTAAGTTGATGTACTAACCTCGTGATCCCGATACCATAGCAGGACATGACGACAGGCAGACCCTGCGATTGACTAGATGATGTGAAGTTAGCTGCGAGTGGTGCGCTGTACTTAGTGCCTAGGATGAAAGTGTGCCCAACCTGCAATGCCAGTGACCAGAAATGAGACGAAATGTCATTTAATTTGTTTGAAAACTATTCTGCCAAATCATTACGGTGACAACTGCGCTCCGATTGGCCAGCCCGAATTCGAAACAATCATCAAAACATTCGTTTTTGTTTTTGCTTGTCATTTTTTCACAGGTTCATTTAAATTGCACATACACTGCATTTAGAAGTATGTCTATTAAAAATACAAATAATAGACATGTTTTTTATTTTAATTCGATATGGCTCATCAAATCCGCCTGCCCTTGTTAAAATGTAAATAAATTAAAAAAATGATCCCGATACTGGTAGGCAAACTGCCAAAATAAGAAGAAAATAACGCAAAGAAGAACGCAATAACGCAATTACTAATTATTAGAACGTCGTAACTTTTCAATTCAAATATTTTTGACAAAATATTACGCTGACAAAATATTTGAAGTTGGGCTAGGGGGTTAGCAATTGACTGATGCTGTCCATGGGGTACCACCGCATTAAAAAAAAACTTGAATTATCTATATAAACCACACTACACATACGTATAATTTTTTCCTCCTGGTTTTTTGAGTTAAGTTAACATATTCATTTTAGATATATAAATCATAACAAATCCAATTTTTTTGTGGTGATAGGCGTTGATATTTTTTGTTCTGCCTAAAAAAGTTCGGGGACCTATGATTTAAAGGAATAATGTAGAAAAATATCAACGTGTGTTACACCATCTTCAATTATATCCAACAATTTTCATTATAGCGATCGAGCTCTCTGTATTTGTTGATCTATGATAGTAATATAACTTACCTCAATACTATTGCACTTCTCCATCTCCTTCCCGCACTCGTCGCACGTCGCATTGCCCGTATCGCGCTGCGAGTGCGAGCAGGACGAACATACACACAGAGCGTCCTCGCCAGCGTTGGCGCGCAGCTGCCATTCGTGTGACAGGGAACCGCCCATATCGCCAGATGGCGCTTGAACTGAAATTATAGACATAATCAGATAACTTTTTTATATAAAAAAACCTACCTGAAAATTTCATATATTTCAATAGTTCCCAGTATTTTTTTATTTATTCATTTATACATTTTAGGGAAATACACGGCCAAATAACAATTATAGTATACTTAAATATGAGTAATCCAATGCCATTTACGGAATTCCACCAACATGGAACAATATAAATGCTTAGCAAGCCAAAAAGAGATTATAGGCGAAACCAAGAACACAGGTACATAAAAAAACAAAAATAATATACAATTATAAAAAACAAAAACCTGTGTAATCATCGCCAGTCGCGTGATGTGTCAAAGTGACGTTTGGTCATTTCTTGCTTGTACAAAGCAAATCAAATTCGGTGTGATTTTCTGTCGCATTGTCAAACAGTCGCAATGCACGCACCAAGTAAGTATTTTGCCTAAAGTTATGAAACCAAAAACAAGCCCTGTTCGCTTCTTTTTAACCGACTTCAAAAAAAGGAGGAGTTCTCAATTCGACTGTTTGTTTTTCTTTTTTTTTTGTATGTATGTTACGCGATAACTCCGGTTTGTTGGAAAGAAGGTACCTCCATAGTGGTCCCATTTAATTTTGAAGAAAATCATTCACCTCTAAGAGTTATAGACTAGGCTATTCACGCATGAAGATTCATTTTTATAAATAGCGCCTAAATTTTATTATATGGAGCAATTATTTCAATGGTTGATTTTGCTATTCTCCAATTCAATGCGCTTTTCTGTCTCAATATAGTTTGAGTAATGAGAACCGATTTTTATTATCTCCTGTATCAAGTTCCGTATAGTGGCGAACTAGGGGATGAATCCGGGTTTGCGCACTTTCCGTAACCGATTTCAAAAAAACTTGGTTAATAGATGTACGAGTAGTTCCACGTACTTTTGAGGTCGGTTTTTTTAGTACCCTGTACTGAGATTATTGGTTTCATAATTTACACAACACAAAATTACTAGAAATCTCGCGCTCTGTTGCATCGCTATAAACAAGACATGGTAGTCCTACGGTTTGACTTATCGTCTCTCAAACGGAAGCCATGGGTTCAAATCCGGGTGCGCACCTCCGAGTTTCTCGGAATTTAGTGCGAAAGGAGTTGTTCCTTTGGTGGTACTAAAATAAATGGACCAGATAAATTTAACCAGGCTATAAGTTGGTTTTTTGTAACGACCTCTCAAAATCTAGAAAGTTTGAATTGAAAGCAATTTTCTTTGACCTGCAATTTCCAGAAAATCGTCAGGGATTTTTAATACTATATTTTTTTTTTTTTTTTATTGTGACTCGGCAAAATGACTGCACCGCGCCTGATGGAAAGTGCGAATACAGTCCAGAGATGAGAGTAACGGATGGAAAACACAAATATCTTCATTCCGTCACTATCATTTTGCCGGTCTGGCCAAATGCTTCTTCACACTACGTTTGAAGGACCCGATGTTATAGAGGGGAGGGAATACATGCGCCGGGAGTTGGTTCCACAATTTGATGGTTCGGCATAAGAACGAATTGCCAAACTTTTTAGTGCGGGACGGTATTGAACTGACCGTCCAACTGTGGCAACGCAGTCCGGCACGGGTGGTCCGCTGATGGAAAGGAGAGGAAGGGATAAGGTTGAATAACTCTTCAGAGCACTCACCGTGGTACAGGCGATAGAATACGCTAAGAGACGCTATATCTCCGCGAAGCTGTAACGACTCCGCATGCTCAGTTACATGAGGATCGTTGACAACACGGAAGGCGTAGCGCTGCAGTCATATAAAGTAAAACAGAACGCAATCCCAAGAAACGTAACGGATTTTTGAGTAATTTTTTGACTAATGTGCCAGTGGCCAATGCCATAAAAATATATTGACACATCAGATGTGAAAGTAATTCTTGTTGCAATTTATTTAGCCAATTAGAAATAGGATTTTGAATATTTTAACGTTTAAGAATATTTAAAGTTTGCTGCTTTTTGGACTTTTTTTAGTATCGCAGTGTTGCTGGAATTAATTTAACATATCTACCACACTTTTGTTTTAAATAAATAAATAAAAAATGCAGGTCACTATATTTTTTTATAATTATTTTGCTAAGCTTTTTATTTCAAGCTTATATCTAACAAAAAAATTGAGGCTGGTTAAATTTTTCTGGGAATAAAGTACCAAGCTCCATACTAATTCGATACAAGTTCTTTACCATGAGCTTTTTGGTGTTGGAAAATATCACCCTCGGAAGACATGTGAAGATTATGGCCTAAAACCGTCGCCCGAGTGGAGACCCCTGCCCAACAGTGGGACGTATAAATCGGTTGACGTGCTTGTAGTTTTACCAGTATCCTTACCCTTCAAAACCGGAACGCAGTAAACCTCACATTACTGTTTGGCGGCAGAAATAGATAAGGTCTTTCACAAGGAGCTCTAATGCTATTAAATCCATTACGTCAGGGTTTCTCAGCCTGTGCTTCATGAATTCTTAAGAGGTCCGTATAGTGACGCCAGGGGTCCATGGCGAGCCTATCTAATATAATGCATTAATATAAAAATTGGTGTAATATATATTGTGAATAGATTTTTTTTTAATACAAAATAAGTGCGCATTTAACCTCTATCTCAACTGATGGAAAGTGATGATGAGGTCGACGATGGCGCATGCACACCTAAACAATGTCTATTCACTCTCGCCTTGAAAAGGTCTGAGTTATAGCATTCGGGGAACTAGTCCGTAGGCAGGGTATATACCGAGCGCATGACCTTTTTGAATTTTCGCGCCATTTGAAGGGTATTTATTCGGTATTGAAGCGAATGAGTGGGATGAGCATCAACGCAACCCGAGAGCCTTTCTTCTTATCGAGTTCTTAGGTTTTCGCGATTGTTACACATAGGAAATGAAACTATTTTTCCGGACGTTTCTGGCCCTTTACAGGTCCCATGGTCACGGTTGACTGAGGTGGTATCTTCAACCAGTTATGTCTAATATTGATGCAAACCACCCTATTTTTTTTCACTACAGTTACAATAGTTATTAATTAAATACCTTATTTTTAATTTTATAAAGAAAACGTTCCAATTTACGCTACATTCAGTTTTACAAATTATTTTATAGAATGAATTTTTATTAAGTCAATTTATTATTAATTAATAATAGAAATTAGAATAAACTAAAACATATTAATTAGTACTGCAGTCTTATGTCTGTTTGGGATTTTTCATTAGAGGAAATACTGGATCCCAAACTGATGGTACTGAGAAACCATCTTCCCTGTTGAAATTAGGATGTTTTTTAATTTCAATGGCCTCTCGCAGCATCCTGGGTAGATAACGGACTTCTTTTGCAAGGACCTGGGGTTTCTGGGGTTTGGCCTTTCTTCTTCATCGTCTTTTCGGAAAGGGAGCCTATGCTCTTTGAAATTTTAAGAGGGGTTCATGACTAGAAAAAGGTTAAGAAACCCTGCACTAGGGGATGAATTATCTACGGCTTTTCGTAAGAAACGTTATATGAAAGCGTCTCTGGTTCGTCGCGTTACAACATACCTCGATAAACAGGTAGTTGTAATCTCTGAAAAAGTCGTCTAAATTGCCTTGTCATCTTATTGTACACGGCAGTGGCGTCATCTACGTCTGCATGTGCGCCGTACGCGTCCATCATTATGAACTCCCGCGCACGCAGCAGGCCGTGTTTGGGGCGATGCTCGTCGCGATACTTACTGCTTATCTGGAAGTTCATCATTAACAAAAACACCTACATAACATGTAATTATTAACACAAAGAACGAACACTTAGAAAAAATTCCTTCGATACGTCCGGATTTGAACCGACGTCTTCTAGCATACCGTGTCTGATTTAAATACATAACATATTTTTTTTATTAAAAAAACAAATGTCAAAAATTCGTGGAATCACACCTATTTGCCCAGTTTTAGCAAAACGGTTAATAAAACGTGGGTGAAGTCCAATTAACCGGAATCATCACCTCATTTGCTACCCTTAAAGGTGGAATATTGTCTTCAAATTTAAATATTCCACTTCTAAGGGTGGCAAACTAGGGAACGAATCCGGTTTCGCACACTTTCCGGTAATCGATTTCAATAAAATTTGGCAAATAGATGTAATAGATTAATAGATTTCTCATAGATGGCGCTACGACTAAAAAAAGTCGTTGAAAAACCAAATATAAAAGACACGACGCAAGCACATAGAAAAATTCGTGAGGTCCGTTGGTTCGTTCCGTGGCTTAGTTGGTATAGCGTCTGGCACGGTATGCAAGAAGACGTCGGTTCGAATCCGACCGGATCGAAGGAATTTTTTCTGAGTGTTCTATCTTTGTATTAATAATTATAACAAATAGATGTAATTCCACGAACTTTACAGGTCGGTTTTTTTCATAATAAAAAGTTACGATTGTGCAAATAACCCTTCCTATGGTATGGTATGGTATGGTATGGTATATTTGGTTTAGATGCGTACCTGGTATAACAGCAATGGCAATTGTTTATATGATAGTGGTCCAACGTCGGCTAGAAGATCGGCTATGGCTTCTTCGTGTGTCTGCAAAAGTACAATATTTTATGTTATTCTATTTTATTTTTACATTTTCAGGGAAACTAACATCTAGGTATATACAGCGTAGCATTAGACCTCCTTGTGAAAGAGTTCGTCCAGGGAAGTACGGCCTTACAACCTTACCCATTTCTGCCACCAAGCAATAATGTGGGCATTATTGCGTTCCGGTTAAGACGTGGTAAGCGTGCTGGAGAAATTACAGGCCCAAGGGACTTGACAACTTATGTAGAATTGTTTTATTGTAGATTAACAGGTAATTACTGATTCCTAGCACATAATAAATAGTATCGTATGTGACCACTAGATGGCATTGTATTGTATAGAATATTAGTGACAATAGATGGCGCTATTCACAATTGCAATATCAGTTTAATTCGAAGCAAAGGTTTACAACAAAATATGTTTTATTGTAGATTGTTAAAATAATTATTCACACTTATAATATAACTGCCTCTGTGGCCGAACGGTTACCATGCCGGACTGCCACGCAGAGCTCCCAGGTTCGATTCCCGGGCCGGGAGAAATATTTGTATGGCCGACATATATTTCTCTCATGAGTTTGGGTGTAATTTGTGGTGGCCTATGTATGTGTGTGTCCATGGCACCCGCGACACAAGGTTTCCCTAGTGCGGGGCTATGTTGAGTGTGTGCTTACAAAAAAAAATTAAGTATTTGAATATAAAGAGTATTTGTTTTTACTTAATTTTCTCATCATCCAATCGGCGGCGGCTTCCGCCACATCCCACCCTGTTACTAAAAAGTAGGGTTGAGTGGAGGGACGGGGTGGCGGAATCGGCCGGTGCTCAGTCGAGTGGTGTGCAAGAGTCCGAAAAGGCTAGACGAGTAAATTACTTACATGAAGTGATTGTACTACATTGTTGAGGAACGTGTGATCGTTACGGAAAATATTATCAACTTGGTATTATTCCACATCCACGAAGAACGCTGCAACACTTATGTCTCTGGGTGACTCAGATCTTTGCCATTTAAAGCTCTGAATGGCACTGCAACTGTTATGGACAGGCATGTCCCTTACCACCAGGCGCTCGACTTGTTCGTCCGGTCACTTGGTATTATTAAAAAAGATAATAGTTACAATAATAAACACAGATGGCCAATTACAAGTTCGCATAGATAAATTAACAGTAAAACTTTTTAAAACTGAAGATAAATTCTTTCTCAGATTACTTATTAAGGGAAAGAACAGAAAAACTGTTCGCAGTAGCTTAAGTCTAGAGAAATATTGGAGCAATCAATACCTGCGGTAAGCAGAAGACACGGATCTCCACTTACTAAGTGCCAGAGTCACCTTTGTATGTTTCAAAACTATAGTGAAGCAAAAACTTAATACTAAAGGTTATTATTATACAGCTTTTGCATATTTGGATGACTAAAATCTACCCATTTAGCTCTTGCTAATTGCTTTTATCTATCATATTTGAAATAAATATTGCAATATCATAAATATGCACAAAGGCTAATCTATAAAAAGCAACTTCTAGAGTTTCTTCCTCGTTCTTCTCAGGGGAATCTGCCTTACGAATGAGCAGGAGAGTTAAACCCATTTGAAGTGGAATTCGCTTATCTAAGAACTAGACATTATTTGACTTTGAATTAGACCTGGAACTACGCTGGAAATCATTTAAGCCACGCTCTCATTTGTCTGCCGCACTTCTGCATCTTTATCAACTATGTTAAGAGATAAAAAAAATCATTTAACAAAGACTTACTTGGCTATACTTAGGTGGCGCCCTTGTTCAGCAGTGGACGGCTTTCGACTGAAATTATGTTGATGATGTCAGTATTCAGACACTTACCGGAGCTAACAAATATATTTTTTCATGCCTGTCACGGAGTTTCAATAGTTCTGTCCCAACCTGAAATAACAATTACAGAAGAATTTATTTATTTATAGTGTTTATACTAACTTCTTTTTCCTGTTTATACTCAAATTTCTGTTTTGTTAACTCGGTAACTTCAGTATGTCCTAAGACATAGGCCTCTTCCAGAGGTTTCCATTTCTCCTCATCTCTTGCTATTTACCTCCACGACTCCTTCCGCATTGGATGTGTGTGGAATGAACTGACAATGATGACAGCTAGAACAAAGTCTGTGGATATTGTGGAGTACATAGGAGCAGTTGGGAGTCCCCCACAATGTGAATTGTAATTAATTTGTGGTGAGAGTACCAACTCAACATCCCTCGACCTTCATGAAGGGGGACTTTGGCCGAAGGGTGTCATGTTTCCGAGGACGGTTACCGGACACCCACATTGCGTCACACATCGCGGTCCATACGCGTAAATAAATAAACAGTGGTAGTGTTTTATTGTATGTTAGTCCACGGACCTTTTGTAACCTGAAATTAAATGTTATAATTACACAACTACTGAAATTGTATATAGTCTCAATGTACTAAACACCATTCTATCTTTTTTGGTACGTTCGTTTTTAGATTTTGTCATAATAACCTCCTTGCTGTCCCTCAGCCACTCTTTTACTAAAATCATACATATATCACAAGGCCGGTCATGCTTCCATTTTGGTTTTCATTTATTTTCAAGGTGTTTGTGCATTCTTTTCTATTAGAACTTTTTTTAACCCATTAATGGACAGTATGTAAATAGGATCGCATACAAAAATATCAGTACTTTTCTTGCCATAGTGCTTATTTCGATTCCAGACAAAATGTCCAATGTAAATCTTTGAACGTTGTTAGTACGCGGCGGCAACTACACAGTAAAGCCTGTAGTTTGTCAAAGTCAATTAATCATTTATTCCATAGGTAAAATTTTTACACTTGAAAACTTCATTTTTTAAACCACTGGTCGTACATTGCGCTGACCTCCCTGAGAAGAACGAGCAAGAAACTCAAGGGATTGCTCTTTTCAAATAAACTTAAATGCTATAGAATACACTTTGAATCTCAATTGCGTGACATCTAGACTCAAGTTGTCTTTCCTTATAAGTTTATCTAACACATACTCTTCAATTTTGTAATATGACTTTTCAATTACAATACTTTTAATATAAGTTTTAAGTTTTGGAAATGATAATCTTAATATATGCTCCGGAATTTTATTGTAAAAATGCATAGTTCCCGATAAAAAAATCGTTTACATTAGTTAAATGAAATCTAATGTTATGGCAAATGCCGTTACGGTCCATGAATGGATTAAAAATTAGTACAGCACTGGTTCTAGATTTCTCCTATAAGAAATGCTCCGTAATAAAAAAGTACCTGATGCAACCTGCCCGTCTTTTCCCACAACCCCTCTGCAGTGAGCGCAGGCAGTGACACCCTCTGGCCCCCTACTTCTTCCAAGCACGACCTGACGAGAGCTTCCAGCTTGTCTAGAGCGCGGCAAGCGAGGGGCAGAAGGGTGAATAAGCCGGAGGATGTGGGACGAACCAGACCACATTCCAGCAGGAGCTGAAATGGACAATATTTGTGGCTTTGTGAACATCACTGTCAAAAACAACCAGTTTTTGTTCGTCTGTGTGACCCGACTGTAAGGGGAAGTTAATCATAAGAAAAAGTTATCAAGACTAGGCTGTTTGGTTTTAAATTCTTACCTTTTCCTTAACGAAAACGAAAAGTAAACAATACTTACTTTTTGACTCTTACAAGTAATTTCTGTGTTTTTGATCTTTGCATTCTTTGGTATGGTAATGATCGGTTGAAATATTTGCGACACGTACCGCATTTTGTTATAAATGACAATTTAATTTAATTTTAATCACTAAATTACAAAAATTGGTCCGGCATCGATTATTAGAGGTTAGAACAGCTGATTGTCAAAAAAAAGCTTCCTATTGCGTTTTATTTTTGCAATCAACGTAGACTACTAGTCTTACTAATATACTGTAACTTAGTTAAATTAAAATTGTAATAATTAAATTTTGCATTTACAGTAGCATAATCAGCACGTCTTTATTAATGAATGATAGATTAAGCCCTGAAAATATATTTTAAAGTTCGATCTATGGATCCGATAGCGTATGCGCTATAAGAAAAGACGCCAGGGTATTGACTGCACCGGGGCGTTACATGGACTACACTGGCTCTGGTTGTAGGACCAGAATGCGTAGTATTCCCTACAAAATTAGAAATAAAGGTAGAAAATCATTCAAAACAACACCCAGACAACCGGTACACTTTGTTGAGAGCCAGTCCCAGTACTGGGTGTATTGGGACTGGCTGTTTATCTTGAATGTCACTCTGTTCAAGCACTCTCAATTATCTTACGATCCAACCTACAACAATAAAAGAAGGAAACACGCTGTGTGCTCCTCAGTAACTTTCCGTACTAAATTCGCAGGTAAATTCTTCTGTTTCCTTGAAAGTTATTTATATAATAGATTAAACAATATACTTGCCTTCTACCCTCTAAGTAAAAATGAATGTAAGACTAAAATTACAAAGTGGTTACTCAGTCTTGATTATCAGTCCACTGAAGATCTCCTAGCTATTCAAACTCTATGACCTCCATACCTAGACTGCTTAACCCAACATGTAGCTCCAACACAAAATCACAAAAAACACACCACACACACACACACACACACACACACACACACACACACATTTGTACGCACACACACACACACACAATTTTGTTTTATTCCATTACTTTCTTATATTATTAAAATAATCAGTTATAAAACCCGCTCTCTGTAATTTAGAACATGGCAACGCTCTTATATTATGTAGAATACAGTGCGAACGGTTGGTGAGTGCCTGGAGATCCGTAACACAGGTCAAATCCTAGTATGGACTCCAGTCTCTTACAAAGATGTATTAATAATAAGTCCATAATGTAAATTACTTATTACGTGAGTGAGAATGCCGATTACGTCAGTTACGCGAAAGCTTAAATGCGCGATAATTCATTTGCGCGAATGGTCAGTTACGAGAAAGCATAAAAGCGCGATAGTTAGAACATGTGAACCGAGTTTGACGACCTTTTTTTGTTGGAAACAGTGTACCTCAGTTGTGGTCCCATTTACATTTTAAGAAAATATTCCACCGCCATGGGCGGCAAATTGACTTGTGGCTGATGATGAATGATTTTTGAGGTCGGTTTTTTAGTACTTTGTACTGAGATTATAGAAGTATATTGTATTAAAGAGAATGTATTTTGTCATTGAATAATACCATAAGTACATTACATTTCCTTCTAAGTTCCAGGTGCTTACTTAATCCACTAGCAGTCCATCCGTCAGTCTGTCCGTCTATTAAGACAATTTATTGCCCCGGCCTTACTTGATGAATAGTGTTAATAATTAATGTACGCGACTTATACTAGATACTGTGGTAATAATATTTTGCAGGTTTAGTGTCTCACTAAACCTACAAAATTGTATATCTTTATTCATATTATATACGAACTACATGCAACGAAATACACAAAAATTTTATAAATGCGAAAATAACTCTCTTTTTTAACCGACTTAAAAACAAGAAGGAGGTTTTTCAATTCGACTGCATTTTTTGTATGTATATTTCGCGATAACTCGGCATTTGTGAACGGCTTTGATAATTCTTTTTTTATTGAAAAGAGGGTACTTCGGTATTGGTCCCATTTAACCTCTAAGAGTGGCAAACCAGGCGATGAATACGGTCTCGGATAAGGATGTTGGTGAAATTACAAGCACATGGGACTTGTCAACTTATGTCTCAGGGTGACAGACACAATGGCAGTGCCCCTCAGATCTTTGCTTTTTAAAGCTCTGAGTGGCACTGCAACTGTTATGGACAGGCGTGTCGCTTACCATCAGGCGCACGACATTCGGATTCTCACCTCTCTTTTTTTGAAATTAGTTATAAATAATTTCACTTTAAATATTATTATAATTTCACTAACTGCTACTGTGGCCGAACCGTCAATCCACTGGTCTGCCACGCAGAGGCCCCGTGTTCAGTTCCCGAGCCGGGAGAAATATTTGTATGGCCTACATTTATTTCTCTCGTGAGTTTGGGTGTAATTTGTGGTTGTCGATGTGTGTGTCCATGGCACCCGCGAGACAGGGTTTCCCTGATGCGGGGCTATGCTGAGTGTGTGCGTTATTTATTCCAAAATCATTGAATGAATGAAATATTCTTTATTGCACATTAAAATTATGCTGATAACACAGAACAGTAATTAAGTACCACAGAATAAGCTAATGTACGACAGGCGGTCTCAGTGCCCATAAGATCTTTGCGATTTAAAACTCAGAGCGACACTGCAACTATTATGGACAGGCGTTTCGTTTACCACCAGCCCACTTTCATTTAATAATGTCAAGTGACGGGACCAAAGGACAAGATGAACGAGGTAACTTATCACAAAGTCGAATTTTTTTCTGAAATGACGTTTGTTCGAATTTTCATTACACCGAAAACCGAATTATAACGGAAACGTTGTTCTTTCAGGATATGTTGGATGTTTATCTCAAAGACACGATTAGGTTCGAATAGGTTAGGTTAAGTTGGGTTTAAAAGAAAAAAATCTCAAAATTACGTTCGAGGTTATGAAAATTCGTGGAAACGTTATTTCTGGAAAATGTCCGATGAACGAACTTGGTATCATAAAAAATTCTAATCTTTTGACAAAGCAAAATTATACTCTGTAGTGTCTGTTACTTGCGCAGCAGCGCAAAGCGTTATAGCTCTAGTTTAATGGCGTGTAACGAGACGATAAGCGACGCCTCTGACTGCACGATTTACTGAAACCAATATTGTTTTTCTCTTGCTGGTGGTGATCAGTAAATAAATCCGTTATGCCACACTGCCCGCCAAGAAACACTGGATCGTGTTTATGACATTTGGCTTTATAATATTAGACAACATCATACGTTGCTCTGATTCCAAAGTAAGTAGCTAAATCACTTGTGTTATGGACATCGGAAACAACGACGGTACCACATACACCCAGACAGAAAATCGGTTCACGAAAGTCGGAGTAATCGCGAATAGTACACTCCTAATTGTCATGACGTCGGTCACCAAAACAAAAGTGACACTCTTAAAGGCTGTTAAGTCAAAATTAACATCGATTATGTATTTGAGTGATGGATTTATGAATGACGATTTTGACACCTAAAATTCTAGTTTTTTTATTGCAAATTAAAATTTCGGTGTCGTTCCGAGAATCAAAATTGGTTTTGTCATATTTTATATCGGAAAAACTTAAATTTAAAAACTTCAATACCAAATGGTGCCAACTACGGATATTTGAGCTTATCATAATTTACGAGATAATTCACGATATTATATAAAAAAGGGAACCCTCTTTGGCAGAATTATTAAACTTTTGCTTATCCAAGGACAATTAACGTCCCTTCCGCCATTTTGTGCGTCCGCCATTTTGTGACATGACAAAATGCGTGCCAAATGACCTGTGAACTGATAAGCGAAAGGGTGAGGACGATGTCATAGGAGATAGCGAGCGCTGAATCGAGTGTCATTGTATGCTTTTCTGTTTGTGTCTTTATATCTTTCTTTTTATATAATATATTTTAGCGTGAAAATGTACCATCCAATTTAAACTCAATTAATGTCTCAGTGGCCGAACGGTTACCATGTTGATCTAACCATGCAGAGGTCCCGGGTTCCATTCCATTCCATTCCCGGACCGGGAGAAATATTTGTATGGCCCACATTTATTCTCTCGTGAGTTTGGGTGTAATTTGTGGTGTCGATGTGTGTGTCCATGGCACCCGCGATACAGGATCTTTATTTCGTAGTATGCATATTACACTTGAAATCGTTACATAAACAATGTAGGTATATGAAAAAAAACCAATATATTTCTAACATCATAGATAGAGACTATCTACATTGACCTACTAAGAAGTGTATACATTGTTTAACGAGTTTTTAGGTTTAAAGGAAAATGTTTTTTCCTTTAAACCTAACTTAACCTAACCTAACCGAACCTAATCGTGTCTTTGTGACAAACATCCAACATATCCCGAAAGAACAACGGTTTCGTTATAATTCGGTTTTCGGTGTAATGAAAATTCGAACGAACGTTATTTCGGAAAAAATGTCAACTTATGTCTCAGGGTGACGGGCGCAATGGGAGTGCCCCTAAGATTTAAAGTTCAGTGTCCCTACAGCTGTTATAGACAGGCGTGTCGCTTATCACTAGGCGCAATTATTTTATTTTCCAATTTTTTTGAGCATAAAAAGTCAAAAGTATTTATTGCTTTCATGTCATAGTGCTCTTGATTTTAAAATAGTATCAACATGACCCTGTTAGGTTAGCAATTTAAAAATATGCATTAATTAAAATTAAAAAAGAAAAGACCGTAATAAATATCGAGTTCTTAGGTTTTCGCGATTGTTACACATAACAAATGAAACTATTTTTCCGGATTTAAATCGCGTATATTTCTTTTTTCAAACAAACAGACGTTTCGGGCCCTTCACAGGTCCCATGGTCACGGTTGACAGTCGAAACGTCGGATTGTTTGAAAAAACAAATATACGCGGTTTAAATCCGGAATAATCTCAGCACAGAGTACTAAAAAAAACCGACCTCAACAGTACGTGGAATTAAATCTATTTGCCAAGTTTTATCGCAATATCCCCTAGTGCGCCACTATACAGGACTTGACACAGGAGATAATAAAAAATCGGTTCTCATTAAAAGTATATTGAGAGAAAAACGCCTTGAATTGGGGAATAGCAAAACCAACCATTAAAATAATTGCTCCTTTAGTACAATGTAGGCGCTATTTATAAAAATGAATGTTCAGGCGTGATCTGCCACCC